GATAAATTAAATTAAAACGTAGAAATTGAAACCCCTTTCATTTAATTAATAACCTAATTAACTAATTAATTTTAAAACAAAATTTAAAATTAATTAATTTTAATAATAATTGAAATAAAAAATTCAATTAATTAAATTGATTGAGTAATTTAAAAGTATATTTAAAATTAAAAAAATTCAATTACAAAGTTGAGCAGTTAATTTTAAATTAAAAATAAATTAAAATTTTAAATTTAAATTTAAATTAAAATTAAAATTTTAAATTAAAATTTAAACTTTAAATTAATTAAATCTAAACTTTGATAAATTAATTAAATTTAAACTAAAATTCCATTTAATTAAATAATACAAGAACAAAAAATCAATGTTTGCATTAAACAAACCTAAATGCAACGCACACAACTAAAATACGAAACATAAAGCAAAACTCTAAACACTAAACTCTAAGTTCCAACCTTGCTGCAAATTCCATCTCCTAGTAAACTCCCTTTTATCTAAATCTCAAATACCTGCAAACAAGTGAACAAAAGTCAATGTTGGGTACTAAAATAAAACTAGTACTGAAAAGGGAAAGTTAGTGTTGAAACAAAACTAGTACTGAAAAAAGGAACAAAATTGATGCTAAAACAAAACTAGTACTGCAAGCAAACAAGTACCAAAACAAAACAAGCAAGAAGAGCTAGTACTGAGTCAAACACTACTGCTAAATGCAAAATTATAGTGTACAGTTCTAGAAGCCAAGTGCTAAGTAAATATGCTATTGCTATAAACAAAACACTATTACGGGTGTCGAAACGATGAAGAGTACGAAACTAAGTGTCCACTGCTAAATCCCCACTAAGCCAAAACCCAGGCTACTTCTAACTGTAGAACTCGTAAGACCTATCCAAATCCAAACTGAGATACTTCCAAGTGAAATAGTAAGACCCGCTTTTAACCTAAAACCTAGGCCACTTTCACGAAAAGTTGTAAGACCTATCCAAACATATGGGAAACTTTCAAACGAAACCGTAAGCATCATACCTAAATACATACATATGGGCAACTTCTAAATGAAGTGGTAAGCCCCGACCTAAACCAAAAACCTTCGAATAACTTCCAAGTAGAGTCGTAAGCCTCAATCCAAACCAAATCACCATAATACTAAAAACTATATCTATCAATTTCAGTTTACTCGAGATCCTTGAAATGAGTCAACCCATGATTGTTAATCAGATTCCTTGGACACTATGATCAATGATTGTTAGTGTTGGTAGACTGAAACCTATGGTATTCCCGGGATGATGGAACTATGAGATCTTAATCGGGTCTACCTCCACCTCCCTCAACCAAGATTAAAACACTTGCACATCTTAAAAAAAAAATTCATTCTTAATCGAGAGTTCTCTTCTATGTGATAGGGGATGAGTAATTAACTATGGGGACTTGCCCTCATACGAAGTAGGAACCAAGAACTAGATGAACTTCAATGTAATTATCGAGGGAAATCTGATTAATTTAAGATCCAATCTTCCCATTATTTAAAATTATGCAATATGAGGCTTTCCTTGAGCCCCGCTTCAGCTCAATTCTAGTGAAAACACGCCTTGAGGCTTACACCTCGAGCTTTTTTTATGAGGCTTGTGCCTCAACTTGGTTGAGGCTTGCCTCGCCTTACTGGCGTGAGGTGTACGCCTCACCTGATTTATATATATTTTTTATTAAAACTTACCTAAATCCTAAATTAAAGCTCCGAACAAATCATTCCTTCATGCTTCCCTAAGCAGCAACAACTTCCTCTCATTCACCTCGACCTCCCGCTCACCGCCTTTGTTGTAGCCATTGCTGGGAATCACTTGAAAGCCACACAACACTACCACCAACTTCTCTAAAAAAATTGGAGTATTATTCTCATTTTTATGTTAATGATAAATATTTATGAAAGAGAATGTTGATTGAAATAAATGAAGAAAAAAAAAATAGATTGAGTGGCATTACATTCCACAAGATGAGGCAGGAGAGATATCAATTTGTTATGACGACGACTCAAATAAAGAGCCCCTCAGTGATGACAACACATGATTTATGAGTTGTTGCCAATCATGCCAAATTTTTTTAAGAATTGAATGTGGATGAGTAGGGAACTAAGAAAAAAAGAATTTAGAGTTGAGCTTGATGTTATATGATACTTTTATGTAATTTTTATATTTCATGTTGTTTTGCTCATGTAATATTTAGATTTCAATTCTATATCATGTTGTTTTGCTCTTGTGCAATTTTTTGTTTCATATGTATGCCAATTTATTATTTCATAGTTCAATAGAAAGTTAAAATGTCATTTTTAACATATTATTTGTGTATTATATAAAGAATCACTTTTAATTTTTATTTTCACTTTACGCATTTTTTGGATTTTGAGGTGTGAGCCTCAACGCCTCAAAATGTTTTGAGGCTCATGGATCGCCTTACAAAAGAAAAACATCTCAATACCCAATTATGCAATTAACCTTGAATCTACCTCAAGCAAGAATGGAACCTTTATCCCAGAAAGTGGGGTTTGTGCTAAGTACCATTCCTTTCCCTGAGCGAACATCCTATTAAATGATAGTTTTTAGATATCTTTCTTGTTTCAGGTCTTTAATAATTTATATGCCTCCAATTCCACTTAGATTATTATATAAATCATGAAAACACTATAGTTCTTGCTTTGCTTGATTTCTTCTTGCAAGACTTTAGCTCGATTATATTATCATCGTAGGACTAACAAAATTCTAATTTTTTTTAATAACATTAGCTATACGCTTCCTCCAACGTAGTTTATTCTTGTAAGTTATATTTTGGAACTCTTCTTAAACTTCTATCAAATCATTTTTATGCAACCCAACCATCTTAGACAACCTGAAGTTTGTTTCAGTTGTATTATTCCTATTTTTCTTTCTAAACAATCTATCTTTAGAGATTAATAATTCTCACATTTCAACTTTCACCCTTTTTGCCATATGTTAATTATTATTTTTATTGTTTTTTATTCTTCTTGATATAACTTCAGGACTTCTATGTGTTTGTACAATTACATTTCTTCTTGGAGCCTCTTTACCAACTTCGCCAAAAATATCTTTCTTGCCTTAAAATGAAGAAAAAAATTTATTTATGATTTGTAACTCTACATTTGAAACTAAATTATTGCTCTTATCATTACTTGAAGTACAATCTCACTTTTGCAAGATCTAATTTTGTAACTAAATCAAGCATATTTTCTCCGATCAAGTTGCTATCTCCTATTAAATGCCCATCATGAATTTTCTCATATACCATCATGCTAGAACTTACATGTAGGTGTCAACAATAAGCATCCCACGTTCCTCAAGTATATATTGTACTTGTTCATCATTCTCTTACAAAAATGTCTTTTTCAAATTGACTTCTAATTCAACTTGAGGAGCTAAGCACCCAACTAGTTTATAATGCTGTCACTGACAGTCAAGCTAGTATCAATCATTCTACTACTTTATTCAGCTCAACAATTTTATCATTCAATCCCACAACCCTCTCTTCTCAACAATTCACTCACCACTCCTGTTATTTAGGGTCTCCGCATATAGTAGCTTGCAGCTTTTCCCAATTTGTTTGGATTTCTCCTTTCCAATTACTTTTGCGCAAATATATATTAGTATTTATTTAAAATCATTTTGTCTACTGAATCTTTGTTCTTGCCATGGCATGTCTCCATAATCCATGCATTTATCTTAGACCTACTCAATATTCGCACTATTCCCCATTATTACGCTGGTCATAAGCTCTATATGAATTTCTAATTGCTTTAGTTCTCTATTGCTTCGATTAGAAACTTCACATGAAATTCTATCTGTTTGACATGGTGAAGCCTTGATATTGATGAGAATGCCATGAACTTTTACCTTCTCTTCAGTAGGACAAGGACCGACGAGGTAGGTTGTGATTTGTAAACACTACTAACAGTTCCATCAGTCGTGATAGACATTCAAAGTTCTGCTGTTTGGCTTATGTACACTTGATAGTTTTCAGGATTTTACAATTTTTTTTAAGGTATAATATTGTTTGCCTGCCATATGGTATGGCCTAAATTTTAATAGATCAAGAGATGCTACCGTGCTAGAGTAGGGATGCTGTGATAAGACAGAGTTTGGTATGTGGGTAGAAGTTTTGAAGGTTTTTTTGGAGAGAGGTTCATTTAAATCTGGTTGGATTTTAGCTTAGTTCGGGAAATGAACTTGTACCAAAAGGATTATGGAGGAAGGATGAGAAAGTGATGGATCTTTTCAGATGTTCAAGAAGGGATAACCCAAATGCAGTTAGCTGTGCTACACGATAAAAAGAAATGCCGAACAGTAGCTGCTGCTAAAAAAATTCCTTTTAATTAGTTTGGTGACAGTTTTAGGATAGAACTCGTCGTGCCCTTCAAAATTTTTGACTAATATTGTCATTTTAATGCCACTTTACATATCACCGTTGTTAATAATTGTTTTGCAGTAGATTTGTCAATCTTTCATTGTTGTAAAGAGTTCTTACGCTGTGGTACAAGTGCACAACATGATCTAGCTTTTGGTGGTCGCATGTGGATGCTTTTCAGAAGTCCAGTAAAATATGCATATATATATATATATACTCTTTGGTGTAATGTTGAGGACAGGATGCCTTTTTTATTTTTTATTTTGTACATGTGTATTTTCTAGGCTCGTTATACTGCTCACCACAGGGCAAATTGGAGCTGGATTTCCAGTAATGTTTCTCACTCATATGACTTTATCATCATCTTTGTATGCTTTATTTCTTAAAACTTGATTGAAACGTTGAGCTTCTTCAATGCAAAAAATGGATTTCGTAAATTTCTTTTTCCTCAGCAGTCTTTTTCTCACTAACGATTGTTTAGATTGTCAGTAAATGCAATTGCTTAAGGAAATTTAAGTGTTTAAAGCGGGTACTGCTTTATGCTTTGGGTATGTTTTCTAAACTTAATTGTCTTCTGATTTAAGTGTTCTTAGATGCAGGTACAGAAATGGCAGCCTCTGATGTGGCTGTATTGTGCCTTGAACATATGGTTTTGGATATTCCGTCGCACCAGAATGATTTTCTTATGGAAGTTGCGGGAATAATATTTCCTGTTCTTCTTGTTCTCCCACAGGTTTTCTGTCCTTATCTGAATGCCAATCCTTTGTCAATGCTCAGAATTTATGCATCATTTTCATAAGCAATGGTAGAATTGTGGTTTATGCTAACAAAATTATTACATTTAGTTGTTTTATTGTATTCCTAAATGTATACTATACATAAGCACCAATTAACTTGTGTTGTATACATGCAGAAATAAAAATTCCATCCTCCAACTAGAATGGAATATGTCTGATTATCAACTCCGACAACTAGTTCCATGCGAAAAAATTGCCCTAACTTTAAATTGATTTGTTTTTCCATTTTGGATGAGATGTGTTGGTCTGTGTGTCTGGTTTATTTAGGACAATATACTCTGTTGAATGAAGTATAAGAAACACTTTATGCCTTTCGGTTGGGCTGCAGTAAAGCTTTTCTTGACTTGATTGTGCTTTTGGTTATTGTATGGTACTGGAACTAAGACCAATTGTTTATTGTGGTTTTAAGGGTTTTTCCAACTGAGGTATAGCGTGGGTAGAAATACAATGGGAAATAGGTAAATTAGATTAAGTGTAATGTATATCCATCAAAGGTAAGAATTCGGGCAAAAAATAAGTTAAGGAGATATGCATAGAAAAAAAGGAGGTAGTGATGACACAAGGTGCTGTAGTAGCATAAAATAGTATTGAAATTGGATTAGTAGAAATTCCTATGCTTAGAGCTTTTCAAAAAAAAAAAAAAAAGGGGCTAGACTAAGTTAATGGCCACTAAGGACAAATACAGTACTTGGTAAGTTGTGTGAGGCTAATGACGGAAGGGATAATGAAGTTTTTAATGAATGATCCAAATACAAGATTCATGACATCTGTTATGAGGCATAATGAAATATTAGTTAAATAATATTTTGGGAGCATACAAAATTGGTTGTCAAGATGAAATATTATGCAAAAAAAGGTGAAGATAGTGCTTGAGGATTCCACAAAAGCGAGTCCTCGAGGGGGATTCATGCATAATATTTGAATTTAGTGATTTGAATTTAGTGACGTCTAAATTAAAATGGAGGCAACCTAACCATTGGTGAGGTCCTCTCTCTACATAATTTTAATTAAAAATCTTTTATATCTGTAAGGGATTGGAGAAGAGGTCAAGAATTAAGAAAAATAATAAACTGTTTTGGCTTGGTTTTTAATTCAGCTGTATTAGATTTATAGGTCTTGTTTTGACCAATTTGGATTAAGCACCTTGCATGGATTTCTTTACTTGCTCATTTCTATTTATTATTGTAAAGGAAGCCATGGTTAGATTCAAGTCTGCTTTAATGAAGTGAAAATTTGAAGCGCTTGCGGTTTTACATGAATACATAATTAACTTGAATTTCCTTATCTAAGCTCATTTCCACATATATCTTCTATTCATCTTTCGATTAGATATGATAGTTGTGCCCATATAACCATATAAAGCACGTTCAACGATAACATGTTAATAATGTTATCCCCCTTATTATACCATAATTTGATACATTTGGTTCCTTGATAATCTAATTCACTTATGTGTGGTGAATTACTAAAGAAAGGTCTTAGATAAGGGTTGTGTGGGATATTCAGGGTAAATTTTGGGCATGTCCCCCAAAATTTAAACCAACTTGCCATTTTGTTTTAAAATCTTGAGCATGTCTCCCAAAAAATTAAACGATTCCATTGGCATTTTGGGTGATAGGATTTGAACTTGTGGATTGAAAATAACTAATCTTGCTATGTTAATATATGTAGCATGTCTTCCATGATAATAATTGAGTCCATTGAGTTGACGGATGATTGGAGTTGTAGTTCAAAAGAGGGCGACTTCAAAACAATGAGAAACTTTTTGTATGGCTCTTTGGAACTTGAAACAGGCTGGGATTGCTGAAAGATTTTGGAATACTTTGCCTATGCATGTCAGTGGTTTTCAACAAGAGGTTTCCAATTGGCAATCAAGTTAGGATCTTAAGCAATCAATAGTTCAAAACATAGCAGACATAGTGATTTTCAACAAGATATCCTTAGATTAATAATGAGTTTAATCAATATGAGGACCCACTCCCTCAACTCTCTAAAAGTACTAGGTTTTAGCGAATGAGAATTATCATGACCTTCATGAATCAAGATATACCACATTTGAGCAATAAATTAGGAAGGGACAAGAGTTGGTGAAGAGTTCACCATAGAGGAGATGATCCGGGGTTCCGGGGAGGCCGTTGGGGTGATGGAGAAGACGTAGACAGCAATCTGAACTTCCTAGACGCCTTGAACAGCAGTCAGGAGACCTTTCCAATTGGCGGGGCAACAAAGGAATGGTTCAGAATCCTTTGGACAGCAACTCTGATAGCAGGGACAGCAGTTTTGGGCTTGTGGGAGAAGCTGGACAGCAGTTTCACAGGCCTGAAAATTCTGGATAGCAACTCAGTTCAGGGAAAATCAGGTCTTGGCTGATCCGTTGAAGGGAAACAGATGGAGTATGGGATTAAAAGCTTTCCTTAAGATTCTCTCCTCCTCTGAATTAAATTCAGGAATTGATTTAATTGGAGTGAGGGAAGGGGATGATTTGGATTTAATTCCAAAGGAAGAGTTTTGATTTTTGGAAAGAAATAAAAGAGAGGGGGCCTTGGGAAATTTGGCCAGGAGAGAGAGAGAGAGGGTGAGATGTCTAGGTGCAATGAATGCAGGGAATTTGAATTAATTGAATAATCAATCGTAGATTTGGGATTGATTACTAATTAAAGGGGCGTTCCAAACATAGACAAGTTTAATTAGGAAGGGTTTTGAATTTCAAATTCTTTTGAAATTTGAAATCAAACAATTTCCAAATTAAAACTAATCTATTTTAGGTAAGTGGAGGTTTGGAGGGCGGTGGAAGGGGGTGTGGTGTGTGGCCGGCGGCTTGGAGTGGTGGTGGTCGTGGTGGGGGTATGGGCCAACGGTGGGGGAGGGTTTTTAGGGTGGTTCAGCCGGCGGGTTGGGGTGGGGAAAATAGCCAAGGGGTTGGAGAAAGGTGGATGTAAGAGAATTTGGGGTTTGGTCAGTGGGAGGGAGGGCTTTGGCCGACAGATTAGAGGGGGGAGGGGGAGAAGAAAAGAAGGCAGAAACGTAAGGGAGAAAATAACCATGAACCACTGTTCCAAGGTTGGTGGGTAATCCGATTCCCTCTCCTAGGGATTTAGCTCTTAAGCTCTCACACTCTCACATGAACACAAGGGTACAAAAAATTTCATTATAATTCTTCATTGACCTCAAAAGAGACATATGGGGCTTTTATATAGCCTCCTACAATGAAAGAGAAATAAAAGACGACAATGCCCCTAGGGCGTACACATGACAAAACCCTTAAGTAAGGGCAAAACGGGAAATGCTACAAAAACAAATACATAAAACAATTAAATAAAACAAATACATATGAAGATTCAAAAATATATCGGCGTGATTGTGGCCGTAGATCGTCGGCCACGCCTATGATAAACTTTTCATGGTCTGATGCCCCCCCATCAAACTCTTTCTTTAACCCTATTAAAATCATTTGATTTGAAAATAATACTGAAATAAAATGGCTCATATAGCAAGGGTCATCTTCATTATTCTCATTCCCTATTCTTTCTTGGAGTGTTGCATATGATTTTAACTCTATTTTAAGCTAATCATTTTGAAAAAAAATTCTTGCCATATAATCTTAGGTCGACCTTTTTATGTTCGTAATCCCTCTTCTTTGATTTGTTTTTCTATCCTTTTTTTTTAACATTTCTATTAGCTTTGCATTTTCTTTTATTACATTATGAATTAGCTTATTAGTGCTTCTCTATCACTCTACCTTCAAATAAATATAGCATGGCATGTCTAGTTGTAGTTTTATTAATATTTCCTTTAGGCCTTCGTTGCATCTTTTATAGAATAATCCTTTGAGCTTCTTCTGCACGCATTCATAACAATAAAAGTTATATCCTTATATACAACTGATGGGGACATCAGCAGCGATTTCGACACATGTACTTTCAGGAGATGCCGGAGATCGATGGCCATGATCATGATATGTATTTTCATCATTTTATGTAGTAGTTTTTTTTTATTTTATGTTTTTTCCGTTTTTGCCCTTTTGGGTATTTGGTAGCTATTGCTGCCCAAGGGGCATTTTAGTCTTTTGTCGTCTTTGTCATTTTGAGATATATTTATATGGCCATTTTCTTATGTAAGAGTTTAGTTTTTGGATGAATGAAAATTTGACATTTCATGTTCTCTTTGTGAGTGCAAACCTCCACGATCTCTTAGTGAGTTCGTAGGAGAAGCTAGATCTCTTTGTGAGTTCTAGGTCTTCTTGTTCTACTATTTTCTTCCTTTATTTCTCGTGATCGATTCATTGTCGTGGAGACTCTGATGTGAAACAATCATGGGAAGATGAGATGCTTAAAGACGTTTGCACATTTAGTTTTAGAGAACAATAATAAGCTAGATCTCATGTTGATTTGAACGATAAAATAAAATATTAAAGTGATAAATAGCATTGGTTAAATTACATGCATAGAAGTTAAGAGCATAAAAATCAATCAATTTAATCCACTTTTGCATTCGTGAATGGTCGCAACAATAAATCCCTTCGTTAACATTAAGACTAGCTACTACAAGGAACCCTTCACTCAACTCTCCTTATTACTAGGCTTTAGCGGAGTGACCAACAACATCTTTGTGAATCAAAACATAACCACGTGGGAGAAATAAACTAAGAGGCTAAAAGAGTCGGAGGTCAAGTTTACTCGAAGTATGAAGTATACGAGGCTCCGGTGGTCATAGGAAGGCTTGGAAGGAGGTAGGTGGCATCCACGAACCTTATTGAAGGTGTGATCAGCAATCTGACGCGTCCTGACAGCGTTTGAAGACCTTCCACTCGGCTGGACAGCAAGAAACAGGTGCAGGTTTTCTCAGGACAGCACACTCTCATGCCCAGAAAAGTCTCAGGCCGTGAACGGGGTCCGATCAGTTGGACAGCAAGGTAAAGCTGTTCTGAAGGTGCTGCAGTAATAGGGGCTGGCGGGAAACGAGGGGCAGCTAGCTGTCTTTCCTGGACAGCGGTTTGTGAGCCCTTGAGTTGCTGGAATACTAGGGACTGGTGCAGGAAAACTTTGGCAGCAGCTTGGGATCTTAAGAGGTTGGAAAGCAAGTTGTATGGTTGAGAAAACTTGAACTGCAGACGTTGGCAGCAACAGGAAAATTCTGGCATAACCACGGTGAAATTTTCCTTGCTGGAATTACATGGCAGCAAGGGGAAGTCCAGGAATTAATGCAGGAGGAATGACCTTGGGATTCACATTAATTCTAAAGGCTAGAAGAGGGGGATTAAATTCAAAACTGAAATTGATTTCAGATTTTGAATACTTTGGGAGGGAATTAATTTGAAATTGATCTCAAATTAATTAGATTTTGGGGGAGGTTAATGAGCATTGAATGGGGGCCCATTAAAGGGGTGGCCGGCGGCATGCTTGGAGGGGAGGAGGAGGTTTAAAATGTTAAAACTGAAAATTTATTTCAGTTTTAAGTAATTTAGGAGGGAAAAACCTTTGAATTCAAATTAGGATTTCAAAACGGTCAAAGTATTAAATAAGAAATTAATGGAATTCTCTCCATGGGGGCCGGCGGCATGCATAGAGGGAGAGAGGGAAATTCAAGGGAGTAGGGTTTCCAATTTAGGATGATAACGTGGAAATTGATCTCATAACTCCAAGTTACATCAAATTGAAATTGAATTTCATGACGAAAGCTTTCCTAAATTGGAATTCCAAATTAGGAAAGAATTTGGAATTTGAAAATTTCAAATTTCAAATTTGAAATTGGTGCGGGAAGGGGTTGGGGGATGAGGGGAGGTTGTCGGCAAGGAGGTCGGCCGGAGCTATGGTGGTGGTGGTCGGTGGATTCCCAAGGGGGGGCGGTAATGGAGTGAGGAGGGATTTCTTGTAGTGGAGGTGAAGAAATTGGAAGAAAATTACGAACGCAATGATAGACGAAATTAATCACGAGCCGTGGACTCTTCCAACGACTGGTGGGCCTTGCGATTTGCTCCCTTGAGCTCTCTCTCTTTCTCTCTTCAAGCTCTCATGCAAGAATTAGAAACAAACAAAAAATTTTCATTCAATCTTCATTAGCCCTTCTCCAAGAAGAGGAGGGATTTAAATAGACAAATACAAGAAGGGAAAAATAAAAGACAACAATGCCCTCGGGGCTTACAAAGAACTACTTCCTTAAGCAAGGGCATAAATGGAAAAAGACAGTATATAAATAAATACATCACATATAATTGAAATAAAAAGGCGTCATCATAGCCGTCGATCATCGGCCATGTCCCTGATGGAACATTAAGGGTTTGATGTCCGCATCAGACTCGGTTGAGCATTTGTGGGAGATTGGATTTCACTCCTTAAATCCCTATAATTTTCCCTACCTCTTCCCCTCCCCTTGCTCACTGCCGCCGGCCCCCTCTGGATTACCCAGGCCGCCGGCCTGCAGCCCCAACCCGCAAGCCAGCAGCCGCCGGCCAGCCCACCAGCCCACCGGCTCCCTTCCCCCCTTCCTGCCGCCACCTCCTCTCCACTCTTTTGATTTTTCGAATTTGAAATTTGAATGTTTTATGAGCCATTACTTGTTTCCTAATTTAACTCCTTAATTTTAGGCAATCAACTTAATTGAATTTCAATTTCAAATTTGAAATTCGAATTGATCCAATTGATTACCCTCATATTAGGAAGTTATTTCCCCTTAAGAAATCTGAAATCTTATTTCAGATTTTGTAAAATCTGTGATTATTAAAACCCAAGCCCCTCTCTCCTAGTCATGTGGCCGGCCCCTTAATGGCCCCCCTCTCTCTCTTCAATTACAATAATTATTCCCCCACAGCTGTCCACTCAATCCCCCACCATTTTCCCTTAGCTGTGTGCCTCCGGAAGGTGGAATCCCTGAAATTTCTCCTGTCCACATGCTATCCAAAGAATTCTGGACGCGTTCTAAATGCTGCCTTGAAGTTTAGAGCCTAAAAGCTGCTGTCCAGAAACATCAGATTGCTGTCCAAGGAGTCCATATCAAGTTGGATGGCTATCCTCCACCCTGAAGTTGCCAAACTGCTGTCCACGGACAGCTAGGAGTTGTGTGCTGCTGCCCGCCACCTTGCAAGCATCCAAACATTCGCATCAGAGCTCTGTATTGCCTTTCCATTGGATTCCAGACTATGAGTGTTGGCTGTCCTCCACCCATAAACTGCCAGAATATTGTATCATTGGACGACCGTCATCCTCCACCACTCCGGCCACCTATCTAAGAACGACGATCTTAGGCTCCTTCCTCGGAGTGACCTCGGTTCTAATGTGGAGACTCTTCTTCCGCTAAAGCCTAGACTAGTTAAGCGTATGGGCTCCAAAGGTGAAAGTTCTCATTATTAAATTGTGTATTTTTGTTTACCGTTGTAGTTTTACAATTGATCTTTGCGTTTTCTTAAATTGTTTGGTTAACGGACTTTGCTCTTCTTTGCCTAAGCAAGTTAAAAAAAACCAAGAATTCTAAGGATCAATCATTGTTATAAGTAATAAATTTATTTTGGGATTATTTTATTAAATCTGCTCTCTTTAATTTCCTTAAAGTAACTCCTGAACGGGTTGGTTTCACATCAACAACTTAATTATTTATATAAATTTTTCTAGAGACTCAAACATATCTAACTTTAGTTTTATTTGATCTTCAAGCAGTTTGGACTGATAATGATAATTTCGACATAAAATAAAATTGTGTTGCACATATTCATTATTTTTTACTTCACTTGATCAAAGTTACTCTAGATGCGAGTATGGAAAGAGTGAAGGTCATCTACCCATGTGAATAGTAATGTTAACTTCTCTTTGTGCCTCAAATGTAATAATAATTTCATTATCATATGTTTGCTTGATAGCTCGTCAAGATATTTTCAAATATGTTCCGAGTGTAACTTATTTTTAATTACCATTGGCTTTCTTTTTTTAACCTTGGTTATTTCTTTTATGCGTAAAATGTTGCATGTTTGATGTGTAATTTATAAATGATTTTTTGATTTTTTTTGCAGACTTGGAGGGTGAATGTAAAAGCATTGGAGCTTGTTAAGAACTTGCAATGGCCATATTACTCCGACATCAAAGCATGTGATTCAGATTTTGATGATCGTGAGTTAAAGGTATATATCTATTGTAGAGATATATTTAGCTTAAATGCGTATATCTATTGTAGAGATATATTTAGCTTGGTAATTTTATTAGTGTATCCGTTGTAGAGATATACTTAGCTTAGTAATTTCTTTAGTTACTGTAATCTTCCAATAAAATTTGCTCGAGTTGTGTTCGACACCTTTAGTTGAAAAATGCCAGCTTAACAGTGATGTAAAAAAATTGATTAATTGAAATTTTGCATAAAAATGTTCAAAGAGAAACTCTTTGAAAACATTTTTTTTATGTTTAATGCTGCGCTACAAGAAGAAACATATGTTCTTGTAACTGACACAAGTTCTGATACGTAACTTGTGTTGCTTCTTGCGTTTGTTTAAACTTAAATATGCTTAATGCTATCTGACTGGCATGTCCCCTCAATTACCTCATTTTAATTCATATAGAAGTCATTTTAGGAAAAATACGGTATTTTGCATGGACTTGTGTAGATTCACTCATATAAGTCTGCAGTTAATTTAGGAGCACTTGACTTATTGTTGACTGAACCTGAGAAGTATAGTTCTCAGCAATAACCCATTAATTTTCAATACCCGATATTTTAAAGGATACATGATATAGTTATCAAGAATATAAAAATGTTCAAGTAAATATAAGACGCCACATTAGTTTCCACTTGTATGGCATTGAAAGAAAGTTAAATATTGATTTCTTTACGGATTGAAGCATTAGTCCTCTTTGGGAACACACTTCATCTTATTGACTATGCTGTTATGCATGCACACTTGTTTCTTTTTGTTTGTTTTTGTAACTTGGAAATTTCTACTTAACTTTATGCTGTTCATATAAATGCAGAGTTTAGACCATGGGCAGATGACTACCATTAACATACGAACAATTCAAACCTTGGCTGAAACTTTTGCTGGAAATCCTCAAGGTCATATTGAGTGGTTGGTAGCATGTAGCATGCAAAACAAATCAGCAAAATGTTTTTTCTTCTTCATCATTCTTCAGGCTTTGGCTAATTGCAAAGAAGGTGCCCTTTTAATATCTCTGAGTAATTAATTGTCTGCGTTAAGATTTCATGATCTGTTCTTGTCTTGATTTTTAGAATTATTCATGGATATCCTTATCATTAGAATTGATTTTCTCTAAAATTTCCCATTTATACCAATTAATTTAATTTTTGCTCTTCCTGAATTTTTACTGTAGTTATTACGCTTGTACTTGCATTTCCTGTGCCCCTAATTGTTATTCTTTTTAAAATTATTGATATGGTATTATAATAGTTTTGAATCTGTATTCTTGGTAGTAAACTTATTCATTCTACTTGTTTCAATTGTAAAAACCGAAGGTTAATTTCATGGTGCTTATGATTGTTTGAACTTAAAATTTCTAAAACTTGTTCTTATAGTGATTTTTTTCTTAACTCACTGTAAACAGTGCACATACACATCTTAATGTCCTTTTTCTCTACAAAAAAATGGGTGCTCCCCATGGAGACACATTAGGGCCAACTCTTGGAGATGCACTTTCAACTCCTGAAGCTATTGATGTGCCATTCTATACAGAGCTTTGGATATAGGGATGTACCCAAAAATACATAAATACAAAACTCAATATCTCTATTCGAAGATAAACTGACCAACTCTTTGGTAAACACATCCGGAAACTCCTGCACTACTGAAACATTAGAAATAGAATTAGAATTCACCCTACTAAACTGATGCCATAAATATTACACAACCCTTCTTTCACTATATATTTGCTTTCATAATAGAAATCAAACATGTTAAAACACCTCTAACTCCTTGGAAAAGACAACTTTCACTACTCAGAAATTAAGTACCTCGCATCTTCAAACAATCAATTCGAGCCTCATATCGGCTCAAACAACTTATACCCTAAATGACGTCGAACTCATAAATAGACAACAAAATTAAATTATACCTCAATCTCCCATTAGATATCACAATATCACAAAAGCATTAAAAATATTGATGGAAAACACAATAAATCGAAATAATACTGATGGAAAATGCAATAAATCGAAATAGCATTAAAAATAAATGAATGATTGAATACACAATCAAACAAAATGCAATAAGGCTGATTAGAAATGTAATCCATACTTGTCACAACATCTGGAGCGTCTCGAGCCTCTTGTTTAGTCAAATTATATATGCGTACCTGAATTGGAGTTTGGTGCAAAGAACTACCAGACTCTGTGCTTCACCCATCAATGGGTTATCAACCTAACAAACTGTGAAATTGTATCAGAACTTACTATTGGAGCAGTACTAGGTGAGGATTTATTTTACTAACATTTCTGTCCATTTATCATGTCTGGGTCCGACGAATCCATAATCACACAAAATACCCAACTTTATATGTACATGAAAACAAATAAAATGAATGCCCTGACAGACCTGAAACCACCTTACTTGACTTACATATCAATTCATGTATCTCTGTTTTACGATAAATTCTCAAAACTCCTACTCTGATACCAAAAAGGCTTGTCATAACTCGTTAAGGCCCACAGTCTAAACTTATCCTATCGTGTTGGTTTGCAACAAGCAAACTCCAAGTTTTAGGTTTTGGAAAATTTTCAAATTTTCTTCAATATAAAATTTAAAATAAACAATAGACCGCATAGTTACTAACAACATTCATTGCTCTAAATAATCTCATCCACAAAATTTTCATTTCCTCATCAAAATGTAAGTGCAATAATTACGTTACCATACATGACTACCAACCGAAGTACAAAATTGAACACCACAAACTAGCTGTGACTGTACAAAAATTAAAAGAGGAAATACCTATGCAGATTCAGTTCAAATCCTGAAACTACTACTCGATTGGCTCGTTCCCTTTCCCCGACCTAAAAACAAAAAGCGAAACATCTGTGAGTTAATATAGATAAAAGATGTACTGTAAAATGAGGAATGCAGTACATTACCATGGATAAATGAGCAAAAAATTAAGATATTTCCTTGACCTACAATAATTGTTACTGAACCATCGACAATTTTTATTTTTTTATTGTTCTTGCCGGATTTGTAGATTTCAAAAAGGTTGGTAGGGTTGATCATGTGATCAATTGCTCCTGAATCTAGGATTCAGGTTTGAGGGGAATTATTCAAGGCACTTAAAACATCAGAGTTAGATGACATCATTTCTAGCTAGATAGTATGAGTTGGATGATTTTTCAAAGTTTAGGAAATTCTTGAGTTTAGCAATTTCTTTTGGAGTTGAGCCCTTCTGATTCCATATGATAGGCTTGCTCTTTTTGGTGACCTTATTTATTTCCACCATAGCTTGGGAGCTTTACGCGGAGTTCCCCATATTTTTCTTTGATGTGTTATTTCTGCTTGTTTTAATTGCTCCATGGATTCCTTGGAAGAAAGTTTTTGCCTCCTTTTAAGGAAAGCGTCTATAGCAGTTTGTTCCTTACCTTAGGGTTGAATGGTTCTGATTGCTGATGTTTTGGATACCTGAGCATTGAGCATCCACCTTTCTTCTTTCTTCAGCTCGAATGAGAGAATAAACTTATTTAGTGATGATATATTTTCTTGACTTAAGATTTGGACATGAACATGAAATTATTATTGAGACATGCAAAAAACTCAACTACCTTTTCCTTTCTACAAATCGCATGAGAATTACTGCATAATTGGAGCTTGTCATCTTAAGATGTGTTAACAATTCGGTTCTAGCAGTTGTTCTATTAAAGTATTCAATAATAGAAATTTTACTTTGTTTAGTTGTTGAAATCTTAATTTTGATCTCGTAAATGAGGGAAAGATTCTTTACTTTTTAGTATGTTTGATGGCTTCCCAAACTTCTTTTGTGGCTTACAGAAATATCTATAACGAAGTAATTCAGGCATGGCGGTATTCCACAGCCATGTCATGTTCATGGATTTCACATTGTCCCAAAGTATAGACTTTGGATCTTTCGACTCTGAAGGAGGATTCACCGGATGCTGGCTTTTTCCCTTCTCTTTAAGGAAGTCTTTACAATTTGTGACCATTTCAAATAATTTTTCATTTTCAGGCAATATGAGACTTGTAGCTCATGGAGTTCTCCTGTAGACTGATTTTCACCATTCATAATTATTGACTTCTTGGAAGGGAAGTAGAAGAAACTAGTTATAATGAAGAGAATGAATGATATTGACAAGATGGGAGAGAGAAAAAGAACAAATTTCAAACGATGGAAATCCTAATTTTGCTCTGATGTTATATAGAAAAGTAGAAAAAAACATATTTTGAATTTTTCTGCTTGATTCTATGCAAATTGTGGATGTATTTATAGACTTTTCGAAAAGACTAACATTGGCAATAAATCAAAGACATTAAAAAAAGAAGAAAAGTTTATAAGAGGAGCCATTGGTTAGAATAGGAAGAGGATGCGCACATGGATTGCAACTTATGTGTTATAAGATGATTGATCCAATGGTTGAAACCTTAATCCATGTGCTAAAGGATCTTTATAAGGATTGGTTGACTTGTGGCCTCTATGATCCTTCAATGTATATTGGATTTGTTTTTTTTGGAATTCATCCCCCTTTATTTATTTATTTTAGTCTTTATTAATAATTTATTGATACTGCATTTAAATATGAATAGACAGCTATTTATTTTGAACTTTCGTACAATGTTGAATGTTGTCCTTACACGTCTATGAAACAATACTAGCGTAATGACTTTTTTTATTAACATTAAACTAATGAATTTAACTTTTACACATTTAACAATTGCTTGTTTGGTTATTGATTAAGCCTCTCTGAACCCATTGAATAGGATTTGCGTGTAGCTCACTGCTTTTAACTATTTATTTTCAGAATTTGCCAAAATATGGAGGCTTTTTGAAGCTTGCATTGCTGCTATTAAAGATGGGTGGCTTGAAATGTTGTCGGTTAATGATGATCTTCTTGCTGCAAAGTTTCTTAAGGATGAGTGGTGTGAACTGGAATCTGATGGCAATGTTATCATTATTGGAGAGGTTTGTTTTTGGTATTGCATGTTGAAATTATGTTGCTATTATTGTTAATGGTTAGATCGATCTTAAACTTTTCAATAAAAATGTTTGGAAAGGCTCCTTTGTAATTGAATGATCCGTACTTAGCCTTTGTTATGGTTTATTAAAAAAGTTTATTCTTAAAAAGTTGTGTTGAATTATATTCTTAATTTAATAACTATGTAAAGTTCCCATTGATGTGGTGCGGTACAATTCATGCCAAGATTAGACCAGTGTTTCATAACCGATCAAAAGGGGCAAAACTAAAGATCCATGTCTACTATTGATTCGTTATTGAACATTGATTTAAGATGAATGATAGAATTTGTGAGGCCAGTTGAATTCTTTAAATCCAAGTTACATCTGTAGATCTTTCCAAGTTATATACGCTAAGTCTCTCTTTTATTCTCTTTTTGTTCATCCATCCACTCATCAATGTTCAATGATCAATAAATACAAGCCACAGATCCCCATTTATAGAAGTAAGGTTTCAAAGATAAGGTTAAATGTTTTAGAAATAAATCAAATCCGTTCAAACATTTGAAACCAAACTTATTATCTAAGAAAAACGATAATACAACCTAATAATATAAATAAAACTAAAATTTCAGCAAAAATTAAAATGCTCTTAAAAAGTTTATAAAATTGTTTCGGTTTAGCTCTTTTGTTGCCAGATTTTCTCCCTTTTGATTGATTTATGCGAAAATTGTCTTAGTTTGGCTAAATTTGCTGCATTCTATTGCATTATGATGTGCTTTCAATTTAAATAGCTCAACAAATTTAACAAGAAATTGAATACCATCATTATTTATGCTTTGTTTTCTGATTGCTTTAAAAATGGTAAACTTATAGTATTAGAGTTACCGAAATGTATTCTTTGTTATGCATTTGAAAAATATTTTGTTTTTTGATATAATCCAATGATGATGGACTAAGCGGTTTGTTTTTGTACAGAGTTGAATAAATGTTTCAAGTGCACTGGAGCGTTTCTCCTTATTTAGTTACCTTTCTTGCTTTTTTTTTTCAGTTAAATTTAGAGAGGTTTGATAAATCATACCGGCGATTAGCTAGGCAGCTGTTACATCACGATTCTGATACATTATGTAAAAAGATACTTATTTGTATTCATTGGTGTCTGCTGGAAATATGCACTGGAGTTGCCAGAAGAAATACCTCGGTATGTATTCTTTTGATAAATCTTGAATTTTTATAATTAAAATCCTTCCAAGGATGTCTTATTACTTATAAGCTTTTGTTTTTTCTTATATTATTCTTTTTAATCTCAAAATTTATTGTGTGCAGTTGGAGGATCAGCAACTATTGCTATTTGAACAGCTGTTTCTTTTTTTTGCTTCATCAAGCTCATTGAGTATCTTCAAGAAGCAACTTCCTTTAGTTGTTAAAAATTGCTGCAAAGCTCCATTTCAGTTTCTGTCCAAATATTTTGTGGAAGAAGGTTTGTTGTGGCTATCATTCTAATACAGTAATTGTTGTTTGCTGTTGATTGTCTTTTCTACTTCTGGGCAAGTTGATTTTTTCTTTGTAATTGCAGGTCTGTTATCTTTTTTCTTCCTCTTTAGCTTTTATTTTTTGACACCATTATTACTTTAAATTTATTATTTCTATCTCTGCAGATTGCATTATAAGATGCTTAAATCAGTTTTCTATAATTTTATATTTCTTCCTGAATCTTTTTGTACTTATATTGCTATGTACTATTTAAATGTAGCAGATGGAAGTTGAATTGAAAATTCTCCTAATACTTTTCTTCTTGTTTATGTCAGTCTTGTGTTCTACCCATTTAAGCCCAAATTCTTATTTTTTGGAGCCAATTCCATTGCTTTTGCAGATGTCCTTATCATGCTAATTTCACAATTGTCTGTTTCTATATTTGCAGAATTCAAAAAGTTTTGATATTAGTTAAATGCTGAAAGTATAATTACTTCCTTGTAACCTAGTCTTATTGTTTTTAGTGGCTGCTTTTAGATAATTGATGAAAAATTTGTTTGAACTTTTCGAATATTTGTACCTATGATCTAATTGTACCATATGCCATTGTTACAAACTATTTTTTTGCTTTTAATTACTTCAGAAGATGGTTTGTTCTAGTTTTAATTAGAAGTTAATATAGGTTTTGTTATATTCTCTTAATAATGCTGTGCACAGTCAGTTTGCAATTCTTGAAGTGATTACATGCAAAACATTTTCACATTCTGATGATTGCCAATATTATTTTGCGATTAATTGAAGGGAAATTATTATTAGCATTTGATTTGATCTATTTTTTTTCCTTTGTTAACTAAATTTTGATTCATTTTCATTCCTTGCAGGATTTTCTGCTGAGGTTCAAGTTGAAAGTTTATTTTCATTTGCTTCTATCTGTTCCATGTATGCATCAGATAGGAGCCCTACAAATGGAAACATTCTGTCTTCACTTTTAATATTTCCTTCACTTCTTGTACCTCTTACCAGTGTCAATAAGGTTTAACATTCTTTTCTGAGCTTGGAACATGTAGAAGCATATGCTGTTGTTTCCATTTTTCCATGATTGCATGCTACATATTCAATTTGATAATTTTATGTGTTAGGCTCTCAAATCTAAATTTAATCACTTTTGTGATTCTATAACTGAAGTCAGAACTTTTGTTGGCTATAGGAGATTCGCACTGCTGCTGTAAACTGTGTTGAAGGAATATATAAGCTGTGTCAGTGCTACGATGTTTCTCGTTTGAAGAATGGTGTTCATTCATCATCATAAGTACATTCATCATCCTAAGTTTTCTGTTGTAAAGCTTATTGACTCTATGTATATGCTATAATGGCAGGTATCGATGCAATGTTTCTTCAATGTGTATCATCCCCAAAATTTGGAGAGTTTTTGGAGTCTATTGTCAACCAAAAGCGGCTGATCTCATCAGATGTGAATTTTCTTCCTTCACTGTTGACGTCATTGTTAAGCCCATCTAGTGAGAGTCTTTTAGTATCGGATAAATCTCATAAAAGGTTTCTTCTCTTCTAACTGCTGGTTAAGTTTTTTAGCTGTGAGGGGTTAAATGTTATGTTTTTATTATAATTAATTATGTTTTTTGTGCTTTTATTTCTAGGAAAGATTAATGTAGTTTTATATATAAATCCCGTCTAATATATGATCCATTACTAGTTTGTTTGTTCTTAAAATAATTCGAATCCATTTTTAAATGACTTCGTCCTACTACATGGTTGCCATTAGACTTAAAAAAAATTTATTAGTTTTATTTTTATTCTATTTCTGAACTAGTCTGTTTTGTAAAAAATGATTATTAATCTGATTGCTTTGATTAGTATTTTAAAATCTTGACCTTTTGTTTTTTTATCGCATGTGACAAAATATTTGTTCATGATAGCTATTAAAACATTACTGATCATTTTATTCTTTGCATACTATCTCTTAATTGCTCAATTTTTTTTTGACACTTTTATTTCCATATTATGCAGGATTGATATTTCATACCCTTTCCCTTATTATTAATTCTGAAAATTAAGTGTAGCTTTTATTCTTTTGCTGATGCTTTTTGTTTTTGTTTTGGATTTCTTCATGGTTTCAGAATCAATACTATTGTTTCACATGATCAAAATGTAAGAACGTGTAGTTATCAAATTCCCATATGGTTTTTAAACTTGAGAAATCTGAATGGTTAACGTCAGAAAAGTTGAATTGGAGCAGGAATCTCAGTAAAAAGTTGGAGAAGTATTCTTTGATACATCTAATGACATTCCAATGCAGAATCTGTAGAAATTAGCATCTCATGCTCAACAATATTTTCAGTCTAAGGAAATTCATTATACAAAAGCCCTATTTTAACCTCCAATAACATCTTAGAATCAATCATAGCTATAGTAATAAATTCAAGTTCTGATAATTCATAATTATCCAGTTCATTATTAGAAAGAGACGTGTCATTATAAACATCTTCATAAGAACTATTATTTTAAATTTCATCATCAATAAGAGGTCTATCATCATAAAATCATCATAAGGACTATCATCATAAAGGGAAGTATCATAAATTTTTGGCATACGTAGAAAAAGGTTCGAAGATTTGCAGGTAAAATTAATTTCTGGAGTTTAGGCAATGGATTGTATGGAAATTTCCAAACCTGCGAACTTTGTCTTAGAAATAGAAAAATAAAAGTAGTTGATGGGTGTAGGTCAAAAGAATATTCCTATTTCTTATGCATTCGCTCTCAACAATGTGCTACATGTTTTAACCTAGTCATAAATCTTTTGTCTATCCATACTCACCAAAGGCCACATATGCAAGGTGGCACTATTTATTAATTATTATGTATTTTAGGATAGGCCCTCACTACGAGAATAACAATTGGCCAAATTAGAAAAAAAGATGGCCATACCTACTTGAAGATAATAACCACCTATCCCCCTTCATCAATGGGAAATACACCATTTGGAACCCTCAGCATCCCTCCTTTAAAACTCTTGTTGTATGTTCCCTTCACATTTTTATAATTGTTAATATTTGAAACTTTTATTGTGGGACTTGTGAAATTACTAGTCACAATAGAATTTTCTTTCTGGAAATTTAGATCAGATCCTCTACTCTTTCATGACAAGTCACTCTGATATTTGGGGCTAAAGGATTTGTCATATTTATTAATGTTTGCATTTGATGACATTGATCTCTTGTCACATAAATATTTGACTCAATCATATTCTTCAATATTCTATCGCTATAATAAAAAATCATTTTGGCATTAGCATTAGAAAAATCAAGACTTATAATGCTCGTGATTATTTTAAACCAATTTTATCTTTTTTCTTCAATAAAGAAGATATTATTCATCAGAATGGGTTGGCAAAAAAAAGCACCTCCTAGAAGTCGTAATGATTTCTTTTTTAAATCAAGTTTCCAAAGTATTTTGTGGAGAAGTTATGCTAACATCTACCTCTTTAATTCATAGAATACCCTCAAGCATAATTGAGTTTGAAAATTCTCTGAACCATCTTGTTGAATTGTTTCCCACAAATAATTTTTTCTTAAAATTCCTTTCAAAGATTTTTTGTTGTGACATATACTGACATCCACAAGCAGTCGAGATAAACTTGTTCCAAGAGTCTTAAGTGTGCATTTTAGGATATTTATTCACTCGAAGGGTTATAAGTGTTATCATTCAATTACAAAAAAAATTAACTTCAAAAGATTTCACTTTTGATGAAAAATAAGGTTTCTTCACTCAGAATTTTTTTCATGAGAAAAACAACCAAATGAAAGCAGATTTTAATGAATTTATTATCTCTTCTTTTGACATGCTATCTACACAAATACAAGAACACGTTGATCCTATCGCTAAACTTCTTCATGTTTATATAAGGAGAACAAAGCCTATTTAATTCTCCAGCAAGCTCAAGACCCTGAATCATTATTAGATAATTCCCATAATAATGATCAATCCATCACCACACTAACCTTTTTTACCCCATAGCCTGGTATAAAAAAAGGTTTCTTGGCTAAACTTTTTTCAATGGGTAGAACAACCAACTAAATAAAATTTGGACAAACTTATTATCTTTTCTTTTGATATGCCATCTACAAAAATACAAGATAACATTATTCCTATCAATCCCTTACCACACTTCTTTTGACATGCTAAGTGTTATCATTCAATTAATATTCTTCATGTCTATATAAGGAGAACAAAGCCCATCTAAAGCCTCCAGCAAGTTCAAGACTTGAAACTATTGTCAGATAATTGCCGTAACAATGATCAATCCCTTACCACACATTACATTTTTTGACCCATACCCCATTATACATTTTTTTCAAAAAATTTCTTCTGTATGTAAATTCTTTCTTACAAACATTCACTCAAACACCATTAAAATGCTACAAAACCTATTCAGGGCATTAGAAAATAAGAATTGGAAGGATGCCATTAGACAAGAGATGAATGCTTTAAAAAAGTCAAACCTGGGATATCGTTAAGTTTCAAAAGAGAAAAAATCTTACAGGATGCAAATGGGGTTTCTCATTAAAATACAAAGTAAATGGAATCCTAGAACGGTATAAAATAAAGTTAGTAACAATAGTATGTAGTCAAACATATAGAGTAGACAACCAAGAAATTCTTTGCTTAGGTTGCTAAAATGAATACAATTTGCACCCTAATTTCTTTTGCTACTAAGCTTGGATGGTCTATCAACAATATGATGAATATTTTCTTATATGTGGTTGTTGATGAAGTTTGCATGGATCCTCCACTAAAATTCAATAGCTCTTTTACAGAAATTAAGGTGTGCAGATTAAAAAAGCACTATATGATCTTCAATTATCTCTAAGAGCATGGTTTGACGTGTTTTGAAAAGCAATGCATGAAATAAAATAAAAAATACGCCATGGAGATTATAAGCTCTTCAGTAAACATTTTATTGGCGGGAAAAAAATTAATTCTTATTATGTACATTAATGATATAATTGTTAAATGCAATGACCATGAAAGAAATGAATTATTTATGAAAAACTTGCCACATAATTTGAATTCAAAGAACTCAGAAAATTCGAACATTTTTTGGGTATATAAGTTGCTCAATCAAAAGAAGGAATTTTAATCTCTCAACAAAAATATATTATAGATTTTTTGAGGGAAATAAAAATGACTGATTGTAAGCTATGTAAATATCCAACTGAAACAGATCAAAAATTGAACATGAATGGAGAGGGAGCATAAGTTGACATTAAAATATATCAAATATTAGTTAGAAAATTAATATTTTATGCCATACCAGTCTTGACATTGCATTTGCAACAAGTCTGGTCCATTTATGCACAAATAAAATGAATCTCACCTTCAATCTGCTTACAGAGTTCTTAGGTTTCTAAAATCAAATCCTGGAAAAGATATTCTCTACAATATATGAAATTCTGTAAATTGATGGTTATTCTTATTCTAACTATGTAGGATCATTAGTATATAGGCGATCCACTTTAGGATATTGCACATTTATGTGAGAAAATTTTGAGACTTGGAGTAGCAAGAAACAATCTCGTCTAAAGCTCAAGTGCTAAATTTGAATTCAGAGAAATTTCTCAAGGTATTTGTGAATTTCTATGGATTAAGATTATATTAGAATATTTAAAATTAAATAAGGACCTATGAGGAATATGAAGATCAATATATTATCATAATTTCCCACAATCTATTAAAACACAATCTAATCAAATATGTGGAAGTGGATTGGAATTTTATAAAAGAAAAATTGAAAGTAAGTTAATTAGTACTACATATGTTCCTGCAAGTACTTGGTTCATCGACATATTTACCAAAGGTCTTTGTCATCATGCATTAAAAAATATTCTATGTATTTGGAATGCTATATCTTTACTATCCAATTTGAAGGAGTGTATTGAGAATACAATATCCCACGAATTGATGACTTTGCAAAAATAAGAAAGGAATCAGTGGAATCAACTCAAGCATATTAAAGATATTGGTTGCTTATTCATTCTATTATTGTATTCGTACATGTGTTGGGAACAAGGAAGCAAGGCCGGCTCCCATGAATTGGTGACTTGGAGGGTTTTCTGTGCTAGAATGGAATGGGTCTGGCAGCCATTCAAGTTAATTATTCCTCTCCTTAGAAATTATATAGTTTTCTAATTACTATAGGCATCATTTGTGTATAAATACACATGATATTGATAAGCAACCATGCTTTTTAGCCGCTTCTTATTTTCTATTTGGTCGAAGTCAATTAAGGATAGCTGGTTGTCTTTATTTTTGGTAGACTATGAGTTTGATTATTGTAGTGAAAGCAACAAAATAGGTGGAAGTTATAGACGCATTTGAAAATTATAACATTTTTATCAAGGTAATATTCAGGGATATGCATAGTGGTGGGACACACGTGGTGGATGATGTTTGTATACATGTGCGGGAAGGCAGCTTGTAGTTGTGCGACATGGTGTTGCTGAAAAGTTTACATTTTGATGTCTTGATTGAGCTGTGTGGAGGAAGCTAACGCTAGTGTCACCTGTAGGAATCACAAGCGGAATCACTTGTGTCGTGCATGAAGTTCATGGTGATTTGAAGATAATTAATTGAACTTAATTTTTTTAAACGCAAATTGTTTCGGTTAAACTATGAACTCTGCAGATGCTCATAAGTATAGCTTTAAAATCAACATATATGCTTTATTATTGAATGAGTTTCGCATGATCTTACTAAAAGATATTTTCTGATTATTCTTCCAATGTTTTAGTTGTATTTTTTATACTCTTTTGCCATTATTCTTTTTCCTTTATTGTGTTAAAGTTCAATTATCACCAGACACTAGCTATACGTTAAATATCTAGTGTTGGACAGTATAAACCTTTTGATAGATGATTTTGCAATATAAATGAAAATGGTAGGACGAATGCATTGAGAAATTATTATATTAAATGGATGCTGGGAGTATATCTATCAAAGGTATGGGCATCTATATTGAAAGATAAAATACGCACTACTAAGATAATTCTGATTATTAAGAAAAGGGGGTAGGTAATGTTAATAAAAGTGGCAAAAAAAGTTAAATTGCTTCGCCATCTAATGCAACTCTAATTAAAGATGAATGGAGAGAGAAGGTTCACGAGGCCAACCCTAAATAATTGGGATAAAGATGATGCGATGATGTTGATTACCTTTTCTTTTTCTTTTTTTTGTTCAGGTTTGACCAGTCTTCTAAGAATGTCATCCTGCAGTTCATTTTGACTTCAGCATTGAAATTCCCTCCCTATGGAAAGGTCATATATCTCTGTCATTTTGCCAATATTGACTAGTTTGTTTACATTCATTATTTAGCATTGGAATATGAAACAGTTTTGCTTGCGATATTATTTAACTGTTATAGTGTGCATCACCTTTTAAATTTTTTTTTTCCAGAGGGCAGTTCTTCATATGGATATCCATCTCTTTTCACTTTGTTTAGGGGGTCTGGATGCATGCATGCTATGAAGCATGGGCTGGACAAACTTAATTAATTGTCGTATCATTGTGACAGTAAAATTTATAAAATATAGGACTGCACATGCATATATGTAGTTCAATTCACTTGCATAAAAGTAATATTCTAACTTCCTGATGATAATCTTTGGTCTAAATCTTAGAAGTAGGTCAATTGAAAATCATTTCAGGTAAAGTGATAGAGATAGAATTAAATTGGAGATTTAATAATAAAGTTTGTGGATTATATTGAGTAGACCCTCATAGTTTGTATCCATTTTGAATCTGAGATGTGCTCCTTCGTCCAAGGCTTGTCCAAAATATTTGAAAATTATGTTTTGGCAAGAATTGAAGCTGCTTTATATATTAGCTTTCATGTGCAGTTTTTCTTAACATGCGGGAATAAATTCTACTTCTCCAGCAAAAGGTGCTTTCCTTGCTTAAAGCTATGGGTAACACCTTACTGCAAATGGAAGGCTGCAAAGAGTTGCTTATGGGGCTTCTTCAGAAACGCAAGGAGTATTATGTCAAGGCTGGGAAGCTACATGAGAGGCTATTGGAAAATGAGATTGAGACATTGTGCTTGCTTTTGGAGGTTTTTACTTCTTCCACAGATTTTCAAGCCTCATTGTTTTTCTATTGCATGCTTGTCTGGTTTGGATGCTGTGTTTCACACAATTTTCTTGCTCTAATTATCAGATTTGTGCGCTACAGTTGAGTACTTCTGTTGATGCTTTTCGTGTAAGCTGTCTTATGAAAGCTTTAAAAGTAAGTGGTTCTTCTCTCCTTGTTTTAGGGACCTGTCCATATAGTTTTCTAACAAGTTCTTGCCATGTTGCTTTCCAATTCTTTATTCTCATAGTTGATTCATTTTTAATCTTAATTATGTCAGGTGGAAAGTTTGTTATTGGATGAACCTGCAGTAGTAAAACCCTGTGTCACTGTGTTGAGAAATCTTACATGCACCTTCTTCATCAACTTGGATAGCAATATACAGGTCACTATGAATTGACTAGATTGAAATTGTGAATTTGTGCTTCAATTTTGTGTCCATTCTTTTTTTTTTGAACTGGAACTAAATGGTGATGCTAACCAATTGATTAGTTTCACCATATGAAGTTGTTAATCCCAGCATTTACTTAAGTATATATTTTTTGTATTTAATTTTCTTATAGATTTTAGTTCGGCTCCTTCAACATCCTAGTTTCAATTCCACCTCCAGGAGTATCAATTAATTTTAAATCATCGTTTTCGTTAATCTTTTAACTGAAGATTTGTTGGCTACTTGGCTGTAATTAGTGTCCTCTGTTTTTTTAGTTTCCTCAGCTTGTGGAGGCATTCATGGAAACGCAACCATTGTTCCACTACATTCACATGCAAATTTTATCTTGTCCGTCTTTTCTTTAGTGTCGTGTGCTTGAGATGGAAAATTATATAGTTGATATTGTGAAATTGTCTTCTTTAAAAATTTTTATTTTTCTTTTTGATTTTTCACCTTACTGGACAAAGTCTTGTTTATTACACTAAATATTTGTTGTGATTTAATCTTCTCCCCAAGGATTGCTCATGAAAAACCACCCTTTTATGGAGCATCCTCATTGTGGTGAGAAACTCAAGAGTAATTTTTTCTTAAGCAGATTAACTTTTTTTAAACAAACTTCTTCTAATGTTTTGTCAGAGTTTATTTAGACACGGGGTTGTGATTTTTTATGGGCATAAGATGCCTAGGGAGCTTGCTTAGCAAATATGAGTTTCCTCCTCTTAGATATTCTATAAGCATACTGAGGTGGAAGTACATGTCAAACATATTTTTGTGATTAGCATTGACTTATTCACTGGCAGTGGGCTTGCTATACCAAATTCACCGAATGATTCAGAGGCATGTAACATTGCCACTTGTGTTTTAATGATTCAGAGGCATGACACAATGATGTAGGCAAAGAGGGGGGGGGGGGGGGGGGTTAAGGGGGGGGGGGGGGGGGGGGTGGGGGGGGGGGGGGGGGGGGGGGGGGGGGGGGTTCCGTGGTTTGTGTTGCTTGGATTCCTGTGGGAATTCAATTATGTGGCTATTTGTATTCCCCTTTCATACCTATAAATATGAGGGGTTTTGTAATGTTTTAAAGAGAGTGATATATGAATTTTTGAAAAGAAATCCTTGGGATTTTCTTGGATGAGCTTGCGAGCTTTGTCCATCTTCTTCTCATCTCCTCTAGGAAAGACTTGCGAGTACTTTCTACCCTTCTTCTCGGCTTCTAATCTCTTTTGTCTCTCCGCAAGTTTACACCCCACCTGTATCCTTCTTTTGGAAAGCTTCTTTAGGGTGTCTTGGTTGAGTCAAGTTTGTAAGAGTCTTGTCTTGTTAGAGTCAAGTTTGTAAGTGTGTTTTTTCTTATTTGAAATGTAAGAGTTTGTTCTTCCCTATAACTAGCTAAGTGTGTTGTCTTTTTTTTTGTGATCAAGAATTTTCTTGGGGTCCCTCTCCCCTGGGAGATTTTTGCTTGCATCATTTTTGGTATCAGAGCAAGTTAGTAAGTCCTAGGCTTTTTAAGTTGGTTTGTCAAGTCAAGTTTTGTTTTGAGTCATGTTGTCATTTGAAGCCTTGGTGTCTTGGTGTCTCTTGATGCAACGCCTTCAGAACAAAGTTAACTCATTGGGAGATGAGTTCTCAAGAAGGGGAATCTGATGTAGGCAAAGGGAGGGGGGGGGGGGGTCAAATCAAACCCAAAAAAATTTGGTTTTGACTTCCCTTGAGCTTACTAGCTCATTAATTTTTGAGCTAAGATTTAGCTCATTATGAGCTGGTTTTTAGTTCATTTATTGAACTAAGAGTTAGCTCATTATGAGCTATGTTTTTAGTTCACATTTTATTTTATTAGTAGCTCATTAATTTTGTCTCTTCTCCTTCCCCTCATCTATTCGTTTCCCGTGGATGGCTCTTGGGTTCCCGTGCCTTGCCTCCTTGGTTCCCACGGCTGCCTCTTCGGGTTCCTGGCTGGGCTGCTTCCCGTGGCTTTTGGGGGGCTTTTCCGTGGCTATGGTGCTTTGTTTCCTGGAGTTGATTGTTGACTTTTCATTTCCCTTATTTAATTAAAAATATGAAGGGTTCTTGGGGCTGTTTGTATTCCCCTCTCTTGTCTATAAATATAAGTTGTTTGTGGCTGTTTTAGAATATGTTATGATGTGATTTTTGGAAGCCATAACATGCGGGTTTGCTTGGAAAAGCTTGCGAGCTTTGTTCACTTCTTCTTCTTCTACTTCTTTGGAAGGCTTGCGAGCTTCTCCACCATTCATCTTGGCTTCTAACCTCTTTCTTCTCGCCGCAAGTACCACCTCACCTGTATCCTTCTTCTAATGGATGAAAGCTTCTTTAGGTGTTTGTTTTGAAGTCAAGTTTGTAAGAGTCTTTGTTTGGAAGTCATTTTTTTATATAAAGTTGTGGTTTATAGAATTTGTGTCTTTTAACTATTTTTATGTCTTTATTTTGTTCCTAGAAAGAGTTTCTCTTGTGATCAAAAATTTGGGTCCCTCTCTCAAATTTTTGATTGCATCACCCAATTATTAGTTGTTAGCAAGCTTTAGTTTAACTCAAAGAAGCATGTCTAAGACTCATGGGATTTTGTTCTTTGCTTTTCTTTGATAGGCTCGTGAACTTGAGTTTAATTATTTGTCAGGTTTAGTCGCATTGGGCTTGCACATAGTTTTTTTTTGATAGGTTTAATAGCATGACAGTTGGCCTAAGTTCAATTATTTGGTGATCATATATCACGTATCAAAATCTAATGAAAGAATTAAACTTTGAACCTAACTATCTAATCTTCAATACAGAACATATCAAAACCAACTAAATATCCAAAACAAATAAATGATATTGACAATCGTCTAGATTTTATTTCAAAAGAGTTATAAATAATTAATCCAGTACAAATTTGTTATGCACATCAGCACATCAAATTGAACTAACAAAATACCTTTTATTGAGATAGCTCATGATTGTCCTGACCTTATCAACAATCTCTACTTAGCTGGACCTTTCCCCTGTTTTGAATTTTAATAAACCACTTGGAGTGAGCATTCATTTGCTCAGGAGGATTACCCTAAATTCCTTCAATGCCCATGCCCATATTTGCAGTGCATAATTAAAATAAACTTAAATAACATTTGAAAAATAATAGAAAATGAATTTAGTTTTAGGAAGCAGAAACAAAGAGATTACATATGCTTGTTGGTTTGCTTTATAAAAAGAATAACATAAGTATGTTTTACACTTGATTGTGCTTCATAAATAATTTCTTTGAACTTGTCACTTGAACTTTAACATTATAAAAATAACATGCATCTTTACTTCTATTCTCACATGGGTGTCAGAGTACACTTGTTAACAGAATATTAATTGCACTTACACAGAAGCATTAGAGTATACTTGTGAACATATGTTATTTGAACTTGAATTTATTTCATTTCATAGAATATACAACATATGAGTCATGACATGCGCATGTCCTGATGTCTGCTTAAAGCTTCACTTCCATTTATGCCTTCTAAAATCAACTCACCTTCCTATGATAGATGGAAGAGACCCAATCTCATTCACCAAATAATTCCACTTTTACTTATAACTCTTTTGAACCTCCTCCACTTGCATAAAATAGATGGGGGTAGAAACAACCTCCTACATCTGCACATAATAGATAGGGCTAGAAGTAGAACATAATAGAAATTCTGGCCCATTTAACATAACTTGTGGTGTACTTTAACATCACCCACATGAGAATTTTTACCATATGAACATGAATGCACATACAGAGAATAATAGATTTAACATATACATGACATTGAATATGAATATGAACATATATGTGTTGATACATATATGACATTTTAGAGCTAACATTTGTCCAATTTGCACACAAACTTAACATTTATCAGTCAGAGAATAATTCACAGATGATGTATAAAACATTATTTTAAGACTTTTAATGAATGGTAAGAAATGCTAGACATTTTAGAGCTAACATTTGTCCAATTTGCACACAAACTTAACATTTATCAGTCAGAGAATAATTCACAGATGACATATAAAATATTATTTTAAGGCTTTTAATGAATGGTAAGAAATGCTAGGCATATCATTCTTAACATGAAACATTCAATAATTCATACATAGAAAATCAACTGATAAAAAATTGATTTCTTATTGTCAAAATGTAATATTCTACAATATATCGGAATCACATGGTGAAAAGTTTTTAAAACTTATTTAAATTATATTTTATTTCGTAACTTTTCGTAGAAGCATCAAAATAAAAAATAGGGTATTAGGAGCCTACCTATAGTAGAACAATTTATTAATTGGCTTGGATTTCGAATTTGACTCTTTGGCCTTCAAATTCCCTCTCATCCATTCTCTCTACTCTTCTTCTACTCTCCTATTCATTCTTCTCCAACAAGATGTTGGGTGAGGGATATGGGAAAAATGGATTTATATTTTTTTAAAACTCACTTTAGTACTTAGCGTTGCGACGCTTTAACGTATAACACCACAACGCTTTGTTGGAATATTCTAGATGCTCCAAGATAGAGAGCTTAGCACTGCAATACTATGCAAAATAGTTTTCTTGAATAGAGAGCTTAACGTCGTAGTGTTGCCATGCACTAAACAAGTAGGAGCAGATTTGTCGATAAAAATTAACTTCTTTTTATAAAAGATTTACATGTTAAATGCATTTTCCATAAGATCACTCACTAGGTTGGAAAACAGGCATAAGGAAGAGCTTTATTGATAAACTTTAACTTTATCCTATCATAAAAGATATATTTTTTTTAATTTGACTCGAGAAAACATGTCTAAGAGACCATTTTTTCTGTTTGCCTGAATCCTTTAATACATTCTGTTAAATGCTTGGGCGTTCTCTAAAAATGACGCGTTGTTTGACCTAGATACAGTGAAATGTGTGTAAGGGCCACTACACCGGCGCCCGGGTGTAGCATTAAATAAGC